GAAAAAAGTCTAAAAAGGTTTTCGTGAACAGATTTATGTCACCTTTGAATAAAGTGGAAGAGTACTCAGCAAACATTTCTTTTCGTTCCTCCAAAGTACAGTATAACTGCTTTTTGCCATCGGTTAAGTGAAAACTGATTTCTTTTTATGAGTTAATAAGCACAACAAGGGTTATAAAAAGTGATTATTTTTCTGACCACTAATAAAACTTATTCAAGAAACTTGGTTAAACGTTTTTGCACGCTAAAATGCAACACGGTATTTTGTCAAAAATGACAGCAAATGTTAGTTTTTTTATTAATCAAGGAAAACAATTATCGTCGCTTTCATTTTCAATTTGAGCAACAGTTTATTTCAGCGGAAAATGCAATTAGTGATCAAAAATATGAAAGGGTAAATTTTCATCATTTGTTTTTATGATGTGTGAATAGCGTAATTGACAGTTTGATATGGATTTATCAGACCAAACGACTGACTAGCGCCGACCGTTCCTGTTTCACCTTGGACAGCGTGAGTATGTTCACCACCGCTTTGGATTGTTATGTGGGTTGTGTCTCGGCTGATTATGTGTACATTGTACATTGTATCAACTAAATACTCATTTTTATTGTTAAAAGTTGTTCACGGTCCTCTTGCACCACGACCGTAGCATATGTGACCACCGTGATGATGCTCAGAATCATTATACAAATGTGTGTGATCTCCACTCGAATCCGTGGACAGAGTTTCTTTCCCGTGTTTGTCAGACGGTAGTTTTGATACTGCCAGTTAATGCATTGATTGTCCACCCGTCTGACCTAAGTCTCTTGCGTATTCCACTCTAATTTTCAATTCATCAACATCAGGTGGAACTTTTGCCTCTAAAATCTGGCAAATTGAATGTTGTTTTATCGTCTCCACGTATTTCGTTCTTATAACAAAAAGTAGTTTTTGATATTTCATACGAGATACAGCTCTACTGCACCATGGCCACTATTGCATAATAGCCATGGTGCAGGAACTGACGATGAATCTCCCGTAAACAATCTGATTTCACCAGTTAAGACTGATTTTGATTGTTGATTAGAACAAACAATCGGTATATCCAATGTACTTATTTGTTTTGTTATTGCCCCATTTTTTTTATCTCCTATCAGCTATTTGGCCGCGGTTGCCACTTGTAATGGATCAGTTAGATCTGTTAGTTTATAGATGCAGAACGATTTCGAATAGAATTATTCTTCCGCCGATTGGCTTGCAATAATATCGAAGAAAAATGGAGTTTTTCAGGTGCAACAACTACTTTTGTCTGCTTGTTGAGCTTTTTTTAGTCTTTTTACTCGAAAAATGCATTTTTTTGAGTCAGAAAGATACTTGTTTTTGTATATTTTTAAAAAACTTTCTCGAGTCACTAGGTATGACCTAAGATAAAAGAGTGCCCGACCCACAATTTGACACGACGCGAGTCAGTCTCTTACGTATTGTAATGTGAAAGATCATATACTTCCACAGAAAAACTTATTCGGGCCCGCTTCGGTCGGGCCGACAAAACTATGTCCCTTTTCATGCTCTGATAAGACTCGATAGATTTTTACTTTACAAAAATGCAGTTTAGTATGATACTCTCATTGATTTCAACATCAATTAGCTAATCGAAAAGTCTGTATACTTATTCGGATACAGTATTTGTATAGAATTTCTCAAAACAATGTTGATTGAAGAACGTTAATTTTCGGGTGTTGCGAATCATTCTCGAAGATCGATACCAATCGATACCATAAAACGAATCAGCGAACGGTACTCTACATATCAGTAAAGAAAGAGTTCTCAACTGACAGGTGGCAGTTTTCTACGAAAAACTGGCATAGTACTTTCTTGATATGGGCGATGACAGTTATTGACAGTAGTTTATATTGTAATAATCATAGGTCGATCATCTTTCAATAGGAGCTATAATGAATGGATTTTATACATTTCCAATAGGTGTTGATCATGTACGTGAACAACTGTTTCATTTGTTGACATAATCTGTTTTTTGTTTTGATTCAAGATAGTCCGATTGAAATAGTCAAACGTTTTGTAAATGATCATCATTGATAACGATTTCGCATCGTTTATAGTTAATGGTGCCATTCATTATTACTGACATAGTAGCAAGACCTGTCAATTAACGAGAAAAGATTTGCGAAGTTGATTGATAGACAATGTATTATTTGTTAACTATCATCTATCTTCTCTCGTTACTTAAATATGACACATTATGAAACTGCAATACAATCAAACCAAACAATTATTATGTAATTGTAATAATTATTACAATAAACTACTTCAGTATAGCGAAATATTTCATTTTGCTAAAGAGTTTATATTTGTCTATCGGTATATTCATTAATTCATGTTCATGGAAGTTCTATTACTTTTATTTCATAGGTAACTATTGTGTTTACAAGTCGCCATACCAAAATCAAGTATACTTTATTTTCAGACAGTGATTATTTGTGTAATCAAGGAAGTAGTACACAACGCAGAAAGAAATTGTCGCATGTTTAACCACTCTTCAGTTACAAAATGTCTACTTTTATTTTATATAAATCTTTAATAAAACATGAAATCAGTCAATTATCTCAACTTCTAACGAATATAAAAGAGTCATTTTAATGCCACAATGATATAGTTTATGTCATATTTCAATACCTTATTTCAAGAAAACGTCGGTTTATGAACTAAGTGCTCCTAGCAGCATAGACAAACATCGTTCTCTTCTTTGACATAGGCAAAATATCTTTTCTATGTTCTGTTAAAAATAGCGACAAAAAAACCCAATTTTTATTTTCAGAGTACGAGAGAAAATAATACCATATGGTGTATTTGATTTATTTACATTAAATAGAGATTTATTTTGCATCATATTTCACAATATTAAAATTTGTAATGTAAGCCGCAACAATGTCACATATAATAGCACCCATGCCAAAAATACCAAGAAATGATCCAACACTTGTTGTTGTTTGAAACATATCAAATCGGCCCACTTCACCTGCAACGGTCACAAGAATTCTTAAACTATAGACTTTCGTTGTAATTCTACGTAATTCATGTTCATCTGTATAAAAATGCCGCGATGTTTCAAAATAATTACCGGGAATGAAAATATTTTCCGAATAGGGCATATCTAATCGAAAAAATTCATACTTTGGTATACATTTTTTAATTGACAAATCTAAATTACATTTCCAAATAATTTTAATTTCAATCAATGATCCATAATGAAACATTTGTTCATATTCATCACTCTTCGATTCGATTAGTTTTAAAATTTTACGAATACGAAATTTTGGACATAATCTATGATGTTTCTCATCATATTCACATGATGTGAAATATGACGGTCGCATTGTATCAGTGACAAGATTTTTTCGAACAAGATGTAATTGAGGAAATTCTACATAATTTTTAATAAATAGAGTATAATCAAGTGCCTCATAATTGTTTTTTGTACTCGGTGAAAATTGATGCCAACAAAGAGACGGTGGTGTCTGATTTGTTTTCTCTAATAATTGACGATAATAGGGTGGCATTAGACATTGTTGTTTGACACTACATGTATACTGATGGGTGAAGTCAGTTTTATTACATAAATGTAGCACATATTCCGTTTCTGTTGTACGCGTTGTTATTGATGTTGCACTATTTTCTAGCGATGGTATAACAAAATCGACGGCATCATATCTTGACTCTGGACAACTGTAATTTAAATAATGTGAACAATTGGGTGAATCTTTTACCTTAACAGTGACAGCGGATATTGGACTACGATCAAATATTTGATATGCATCTTGTTGCAACATTAGTAATATACAATAGATAGCTAAGAGTAATTTGGTTAGGTGAGATAAAAAAGCGATTAATGTTGATTTAAATCGAACCACCTTTGGTGTTTCGTAATGTGTACAAAATTCTAAGATTAATTTTGGTGCATTACAAAAAAAAGTTGTTGTCATTTTTTAACGTATAAATAGACATCCAACGGTTATCGAATATCGTTAAATACACATATGACCCTTCCTGTACGTCCAACTAAAAGAAAAAGAAATAATTTTAATCGATATTAATTGATCTTTTCTGAAAGACACAATATAGCCTTGAATAAAGAGGCAATAATTCCGTTCTCAAGATGAAAATCATTTGGACTTTTTTTATTGATTTACCAATAATCACTGTCAAACAAATTTTTTCTACAAGAAACGATCTGTAACGTACGTTAATTTTTTGGTACGTTAAATCTGGATAATCAGCAATGCTGATGTTGTTTTACAATCATGCTGTTTATATCCCATTAAAAAAAAAAGAAGAAAACTTCTATATGTATTTGTATTACATTATTATTGATGAATACATCTGATGATGACATTTCTTATTTTGCTCTTTTGTTCCTCACATTCTATTTATAGGTCTAATAGATATGGTGTAATATAAAACATGAGATCAATAGAGAAAGAAAAATAGATATGAAAATAACAACTAGAATTTCTTCTTCCTTTAAGATTTATTTGGATGTTGTGAATATGGTGTTTTCATGTATTTTGATACATATAGAACTTTAAACTAATGTGATTTTGGAAAATAAAACATTTACTATAGTTTATGTTAATAGCCTAAAACGTAATTTTGAGATTGATTTCTTTATTGTTTTATCTGAAACGATTTTTATCATTTTCTTCCTATTCATTGAGGTAAACTTTTTCAGCTTAATCTTTTTTCTATTAGAATAATCTTTTTTTTGATATAGAAAATAACTTTAAAAAAGATGCTTTGCTGACATTATGAATACTCTGATTAGTTAAGAGAGTATTACTCAAATCTTCTGTATCTGCCTTGTAAAGTAAACAGTATTATGCTTGCTGTGTGGTGATAGGACACAGAGAATGATTATACATGATCGCCTTTTCACTCTGAAGTTTTTCGACATGCAGCTTGAGCATATTTTACGACTTGGTGATGTCTTTTAATTAATAAAATAATGGGAAACCTTCTGAACTATGCATTTTATCGGATGATGTGTGAAATAAGATACTTATATAGTCATTATAAAATGAAAGAGTATAACAGAATGTCGGTACGAAATAAGCATTTTAATACCCAAACGCTTCAGAAAGTCGAGTCGTTTTTACCGGTTTTTGACCCTATTTAACTCATTGGTCCCATTCAGCCAGATTTTTACCGATTAACTCCAACCATTCTGTGCCGCAATCCATGCCTAGAAGAAGCACTCCCTTATAAAAATTACAAAAACTAAAACTATACGAAGGATCAACTGAAAAATAATTAAATGAGCTTGTAATTACTAGGAAGATCTGCTTGGTGACATTCTGCAGAAAAGTATCGTTCTGTATATACTGTACCCAATCAAAACAGTACTAAATCAGATATCCAGTGCTACTTGAAGGTACTAATCAACGCGTATGAGTAGATTTTCATTCGTTGTCTGGTTATTAATTTCTTTGCCTATCCAAAACTGATTTGTAATGTTGAACCAAAAATTATTCTAGTAAATTTTTCACTTTATCTCTTGTTTCTTACCATATACTATTCATTAAAGCACCTTGAATATTGAATATAGTGATAGATGATGGTTCTTATCGTTGATAACAATAACAGAAGTGATACAATTCTGTTCTATTATTTACTTTTATTAATAACAAAACCGAGCATCATTAGTCCAAGAAAAACAGCATTTATAAACGAACAAAAAAAATTCTAGTACATCTTTGAGAAAAACAAAAATTAAGTAGTAATATATATATAGCAGATTTATATTAACACAAGAAAAAGAGAATCGATAAGTGCATATAATCGCTCTTATATGAAGTAAAAATAAATACTGCATGTACATATATGAAGTGCATGTTTGTCTGGGTGTGTATGCTGTCTAGAACTAATTATATCATTTATTGCATTGGAGTTATAATGGGGCTAACGGGTGTTCCAGAATAAATCGGTCACTTAGTATTTTGCTCATATCTTAATTGGATTTTATCCCCTAAACTTTGTTGTTTTCTTAAAAGATGTGTCGTAAAATTCTCTACAAAAAATATATTAA